TAATTCCCATACAAACTTCAAATGGTTTGTGCCATCTCAGTTTCTCACCAAAGGGGTTCAAATTTTGAGAGGATAGTCAGGATCCGATTTGGAATCGTTTAAGTATTGTGGAGCGAAAAAGTCAAATTTTGCATCAGTCTACTGGGAAATGTGCTCCCCAATCGCATTGGCCTTCTTTTCGTTGGTGATAAGCCATTCGTCATTGACTCTAAGTGGTGGAATGGGCTTGGGGTGAGACTTCAGCACCTTGGCAACCTTCCAGAATGGTCTGGAACGGTCGTTCAGGTTCTGAAAGAGCCGCCCGAAACTCTCGTTCCGGATTGAGACCATTCTGGAAGCGATCTGCCGATTCAGATCGACCATTTCGTATTTACGCTGCAGATCCCCAGTCCGCTGAAACTGGCGTCTACGAACATTTCTGAGCCGAATCAAGAGTTTGGTGTGGGAATCAATTGCTTGAAACTTACCCCTCACAGGAACTCGTCGAACGCACTCTTCGTCAGCCACGGATATGGCTTTATGGAGACCCTCCAGGGCCCGGTCGATGTCCTCCACTGTGTCGAGCGGTGGGTTGTCGTCGATGTGGCGGTCGACCACGCGCCGAAACTGGACCCAGTTGACTCGATGGTAGTCCTTCCGCAGGCACGGTGCAGGGGCCAAGTTGCAGCCCAGCTCGGTCAGCACCGGTTGGTGATCCGAGCTCAGGTTGTTGACGGCAACCGGCTTGGCTAATCCGGTGTTTGCCAAGAACAGGTCCAGCGTCGATGAGTTGCCCGCCGGTGATGTGAAGGTTGGTTCGTCCGGAAACCAGACGGAATAGAGACCATGCTGGGAATGGTCGAATAGTAGGCGGCCGTTCTGGTTCTGCTGGTAGTTCCGCCAGGCCTCGTGCCGGGCGTTCAGGTCCCCTCCGATTACGAAGCGGGCATTGGTGCGGGTTATGATGGCAAGGTCGTTCTTGAACTGCTGTGCTGTACCATTGCTAACGGTACATTGCCGGGGCAGTAGGCGGCGATGAAACGGACGTTTCCAGTCGATGTTTCCACCTCTACGCTGACGGCCTCGATGATGGAAGTGCGATAGTGGGGTAGGGTGCAGTGCTTGATGCCTTTCTTGTTGATGACGGCGACACCGCCCCCCTGGAGCTGGTGCGATCAAGCCGGACAATGCTGTGGTCGGGCAGCCAGAAGCTGTCACTGGTCTTGAGGTGGGTTTCAGTGAGAAGGCCCACGTCGATGTCGTGCTTGCGGAGGAAGTCTGCAAGCTCAATGTTTTTCGCCCCTACGGAGCGAGCGTTCCAGTTGGCGATCTTTATGGATTCACGGTCCATAATTAGCGACGAAGGAGATAATAGCTTGGAGCTGTTGTGTTCTTGTAGCGCAGGTGCGCTTGATGATGATGGCCTGGGCCAACAGTGTGACGATCTCATCCGTTGACAGCGGAGAATCGTCTGAAGCTTCGCCGGTTGTACCGGCCAATCCCGGAGCAGGGGGATCCGTCGATGGCCCGGAGGCTTGACCGGGTACTGCAGCGGCAGCCGACTGGGCAGCAGCCGACTGGGCAGCAGCCGACTGGGCAGCAGCCAACTGTTGGTTGAGCGGGAGCGGCGGCAACACTGGAATTGGCCGTGGTTGGACCGGTGATAACGGAGGAAAGTTCTGCGCGTTGTTTTCCGGAACCTTCATGCGACCGGGCTGGTTGTTGGACGAGGCCTTCTTCCGGATCTCGGCGTATTCGGCCCGCTTCGGACAGGCCTTACTCGTGGCTTTGTGGGCGGCACCGCAGTTGGCGCATGTGGGAACGGCTTCCTCGATGCTGTCGCAATCGTTGATCTTGTGGTTTTTGCCGCATTTGATGCAGCGGCTGGCCATGCGGCAGTTCCTGGTGCCGTTCCCGAACAATAGGCAGTTCGAGCACTGAGTGACGCCACGGTTGGTCGGCTTATACCGGTCCCACTTCACTACGATGTGGAACAGTGTGCGTGTCGTCTGGAGATCCTTCACGGTTGTGGATTTCTTCTCCAGATGGACCAGGTAGAGCTGGTCACGATACTTGATGGCCTTGCTGCGGGTCATCTTGTGGATTTCGACCGGCTTGAGGCCGTTCGCCTTAGTCTCGTTCATTAAGGTGGTGGAGTTCATGTCGTGAAGCCCGCGCAGCACCACTTTCAGCGGCTTGGTGGCCTCGACGTCGTGGGAGAAGTACTCCAGCTTCATCCTGTCCAAGAGGGCCCTATTGTTTTTCGGCCGGGACCATCAGTTTGTAGCCTTCCGTGCACCGTTGAATGGTGCAACGAAGGCCCTCCTTAATGTAGTAATCCAGCTGCTCCCATAGCCCGGGAGGGAAGCCCTTTACATAGAAGGGTGGCAACTTCACTTTTTTCGGCACCGTCTCAGGGTCCGACTGCGGCTGGGCTCCGTTCTGCAGGGCGGAGAACGGATTGTTGCTCAGCAGTTTTTTTGCTGCCGATGCGGTGGCGCTACTGTCTTCAGGTCTGGGTCGTTTAGTTCCGGGAGGCCCCGGCTGCGGGTCCGCAACGCCCGTTGGGACGGGCAATGGGGTTTTCTTCTAGCTTCTTCTGGGCTGGCTCGGTGGTCGCGCCGTCTCCTGGGAGAGGCTGTTTTCCCGGTAAGCCGGCACTCGCGTTACCGCGCGATTTCTTCCCCATGGCTGGGTCAGCGAGAGCGTCACTACACAACGCGGAGCTAATTCGATTTGCGAACGAAAATTTTATGAGGTTCTTGGAACTACTTTATAGTCCCTGAAATTTAGGGAACAACGGAGTAAGATGTCCACCGTTGAGTTTGAAGTAAAATTTAACCAAAGCTGTATAAAATGTCCGCAATAAATTAAGTCAATATTGATTTTTTTTTAGAGTACTTTTCCTCATAACATTGATTTTCAGAAAATTTCCTTCTCATTTGATGATGTTTTATCACGAACCATAAAAAGAAATAATAAAAGAAAAAAAAACCATGCTACCCCTAGGGGTAAGACATTGAAAACAACCATATAAATGGTTACTGTCGTCGGTAAAATTGCATATGACCTACTGTACAATTTTATCAATTGATTAGAGAACAGTATAATAGGATTTTCTCACTATGCAGTGCTAACGTACAAAAATCAATTTCCTATATAAAATATATCTTGAGATCTTTACCATTTAGAAAGTCTTCGTCTCCGAGAAAATTTTTCAGGTGACCAATGCGACCAATTTACAAGCTGGTTAGTTCAGAATTCTCTCACTACGCAAACACTAGTCGGTGCGTGAACTTCACGTAGATGTTCCGACTTCGGAAATGGTGAGGATTTCAAGTTATAGCTTATACATTCAGAAACTTCACATAGTGAGACAATTCCAAATTTACATGTGCACCATCACCATTTGAAATGCCTTGATCATCCTACAGAAACCCAGAAACTAGTTTTATGAATTGACTGCTTGTACGGAGGTTCCGTATTTTTGGTGGATCCCCGGGGCCTCCATAACACGAATTTATTCTGATTACAGATCTACAAATGTTTTCGAAAAAAAAACCTGATATATTTCAGAAACGAAATATTGTTATTTACTGTATTCAGTTTCAACTTTGAGGTCTAACACATCCCAACCAAAGGTGGCTGTCTAACCCCAACATAAGTCAAACTGTAACAGCTTTTGCAATATGTCATAATTCAAAGAAAACTTTCTGTTTTTCCCTGTAAGTAAATCAAACAGACTTTTGTTGTCCTTATAGTAACGTGATGTTAACATGATAAATTATATAATAACTCTAAAACAACAAATGCCGTAAACACAAATTATCAAATACAGGCCACTGTCATACATAATGTTTGTTTTTGTTGTTTATATTGACGTTTTACTTATTGTCAAGCTGTAATGTGTTCTTCAACACATACTATACTATAGCAAAGAACTCTATTTTTCAAGAATTGTAAGTTCATTGAACTACCCTGAGGTTGTTTATGTTTGCTAATGCTCTTGTAGATTTCCTAATGTTCTCACAATTCTCTTACCCAGAAATTAATGAATCGGTCCTAAACATCTTAAAACTTCCATTTTATTCACTGGTCTTCTGTTGAACAAATCAAACCGGTTGAATGGAGAATGAATGCAATGTTCCAGTACAGTAGAAATTATCTGTTAGTTGCGCTCATTTCCTATAAAATTATTTATAAATATTATCTTCCACATGCTGCAAATATCTTCATTACTCCTACAATTCAATCCCCATTATTTTCATTTTCCTTGGCCTAGATTCGTTCACATTAATCCCATATGGTTGCATTATGCGTTTTAAAAATAGGTACCCCACGCGCAAACGAGCTCAAGGACGTTATTTTTCCATTTACCGCAGTTCCTTCGGTCTACCGAAACGTGCTGGCAATCAGTGGGTGGTTGGTTGTTTGGACATATTTCCACTCTCAGCTGGAGGCTCTCCATCCTCCAGATCCGGTCCTATATTCAACAATCATCTTGTATCTCGGATTCAGCAAAAAGAGTAAACAAATTATCCCTAACGACTCTCTCGCTCTCTCTCTCCATCCCAGGAGGTTTATTTGATGAAGCTTCAATTATTCACTTTTCCGCTGTTCACCAAAGATGCTCCCAGTCCAGAAATGTCTGAGTGGCAACGAGCCAACAAGCCAAAATTAAAGTAAAGCATATCGTTCTAAACCACCACTGGAAGAAGCTCGTATCTTGGCTTTGATGAGCATGACCGACCAGTCTCGATGGGAAAGGATTCTTTCGCCATAAGGTTTTCCATCAACCTTATCTCCCCGGAGGATCGCTTTTCTTCCGGATGCTTTAATGATGCCTTTCCTGCCGGTTCAGATCCATTCATGCCGCGTTGAAAGCGACCCTGCTTCAAAATGCACTGCAATTTAATTTCGCGAAAGTCAAGTCAGCCGAACCGAGCATGATGTCGGCACAATCCCAAGAAAAATGTATTTGCCTTCCTTCGTTTTTACTTTTTTTTTGGAACGAGACCAAGATGATACTGCAGAAACGTAAAAAAATGGATACAAGATAGCGAAGCACGCTTGTGGATCGAAAGGATCTTCAAGGCATTTTCACTTTTCATCTCCAGGCGATGACATTCTTTTCCCGAGTACTATGCTGGCCCTGTCCTCTCTGTCAGTCGACGGCAGCGACAGTTCAAAATTGCGAATAGAGAAATGGCAAGACATATACAACAGCAAGGCTTCGCTGTCAGCTGAACCAGTGAGTGATTGTCCAAATTGTAGGCCGAACAGTGGGAGTTGGTGTCCGTTGTTTTTAAGATTTCGTTCGAAGGAATTGTCAATTCACCAAACACAGTGCGTCTCCATGAAATTGCAGCGATGGGAAATTTTCATTTCAATCCATGTTTTGACCTAGCCGAACTGTCTATGCGTCCACTGTAAAATACACCTCTCGATGCGAACAAAAATCATAAACATCCCGAATATGCACATTCCTGTCGTTCGTTTCAAGCAACTTTAGAATCTGTGTCATCCGCTATGTCATGAAGAGTTCTCCCCGGCCTCGCTGGATGTCAGAAAGAGGACTAGGACAATTTCTTTCTCCGCAGCCTTTGGCTTCTACTGCCGCAATTTTGCCTTCGCATCCGTAATCCTTTCTAACGGCCGCCGTAGCCTTGAAGATGACAACCCGGCACGGGAAAACGGGATTTGCCGTTCGCTTTTCAATCAATAAAGTGTTACTGCTCGAACGACAAAGACGACGACGACGACGACGTAGGTGGAGCAGCAGCTGTTCTGGATTCAAGATGGTGTAGGATGACGAAGACTACCATGTGTATTGACTTGTTTGGAAAATTGGTCCCTCAGAAAGCGATTGATTGGAAAGGTCCGATTGGAAAGTGTGAGTTTTGGTATTACTTTTTCATGAATTTACGATCAATTTTCGTTTCTTGTTTATGGCCTTGGAAGTGTTCGCTTTGCCATGACCTGACCACGGAAGCTGTCGGAAGGAGTCGGTAAGGCAAAGAGCAGAAAATGAATGTCAATTGGGAGATGGCAAGGCAATTTGCAGGCGGAAGGACCGTGGCTTGCAGTAATGAGGAAAAATGAGGCTCCGGGCTGCGAGTGAAGTTGTGTTGAAATGGGAGTTGATGGAAAGTGATTTGTGATTGGTTGCTTTCGTTCTGAAGTTTTGTTTGGTGAATATTCAAACAAAAAGAAACCCCATAAAGGCATTGGAATCCATTGGAGGATTAGGATGGGAACTCATTAGAAAATGCTACGTTCGTTCTGTAAGATTGTAGTGAATAATAAGCAGTCTAAAACGGTGCCGATGGTGTAGTCGTATGCGTGATGGCCTCTCACCACAGCAGGCCTGGGTTCAATCCCAGTCGGCGCCGCCGGGATGTTCTGAGGCATAACATCTCTGATCACGGGAAGTAAAGCCGTTGGTCCCTTGTTCATCAGTTGATGTGATGGGTCGATAGGTAGGGTCCAGTCGTGGAAGCTGCCTGCCTGGCGTCGGTAGCATTGGAGCTCAGCACGGAAAACAAATCAAGGAAAAAAATAAGCAGTCTATTTGTGGTTTTCGGGTACCAAAAACAATCATATTAAAGGGTGTCCACGATGAAATTGCCACACACAAAATTGATTCGCAAAATTCGAGTTTTCATCCGATTGCCATCAAATTTTCAGGGATTGAGAAATAACTATTAAACTTCATTTTACCATTTTACTCGTATTTTATTTACAGTCCATACGCAAATGCCCGCACCTTGGCCTTAACCCCGGACATAAGATTCTGCACATCCTGTGAATCAACCGTTTTTTGCATGTAAACCCATACTTTCTTCAGTTCCTCGACTGTCTTCACTACCTTAGGTCGTTTAAGAAGGTGCTGCTTCATAATCGCCCAGTACTTCTCGATGGGGCGGAGCTCCGGAGTGTTGGGAGGGTTGAACATTTTCGGCACGAAATTGACCTTATTGTCCGCATACTACTTCAGCACGTCCTTGGAGTAGTGGCATGAGGCCAAATCCGGCCAGAAGATTGTTGGGACGTTGTGGGCCTTCAGGAGAGGAAGCAGCCGCTTCTGGAGGCACTCTTTTATGTACACCTGTCCGTTCATCGTGTCCTGGGTCACGAAAGGTGCACTCCGCTTCCCGCACGTGCAGATGGCTTGCCAAACCAGGAATTTCTTCGCAAATTTGGACATTTTCTGAGTGCGGACATGCTCCGGAACGCTGAACTTATCCTTGGCCGTGAAAAACAGGTTGCCGGTGATCTGTTTGAAGTCGGCCTTCACATATGTTTCGTCGTCCATGATGCAGCATTCAACTTTCGTCAGCATGTTGAGGTACAACTTCCTGGCACGGGTTTTGGCGGACTTGTTCTGCTTCTCGTCGCGATTAGGGGCTTTTTGTACCTTGAACGTTCGAAGCCCAGCCTTAGTTTTGGCCTTCTGGACAAAACTTCGGCTTAGGTGCAGCTTCTTAGCCACATCCCTAACGGAGGCGTTCGGATTTCGGTTGAAGGCCCCAACTACGCGGTTGTGATTTTTGGTGTTGTACAGAATACTTTTTCCTTCACTTCTGGGCTTCAGATCGGTGGTCAATCGTTCCTCGAACCGCTTAATCACTCGCGACACCGTGGAATTCGCGATTCCCAACGTTTTAGCGATGGACCGATGCGAGAGATCCTTGTTCTCGTGATGAATGCGCAAGATTTTATCACGCACGAGCTGTTCTTTCGACTCCATTTCCGCGAGTTTTGATCACAGGACTTTAAAACTTGCAGGATGTAAATAATGCACTATGAACTAAATCCACCCAAATTTTCATTAAATTCTACCCAACGGTTAAAAAGTTAGAGCAATTTCATAGTGTGGCAATTTCATCGTGAACACCCTTTAAAATCGATAAATACAAAGAGAAACGAGAATAGCGGAAATTACGCAGAACCTTTGCAGTTTTTTTTACCTTTGCAGTTGGTGAACTGAGCCACCTGAACGAGTTGGTGTAAGAAATTTCACTAAATGTCGCTTAAAATTAAACAAAAGATAATTTTTTGTAGTTCCGAATTTGGTTAAGTCTGCTAATTAAACTTCTTTTGTTGATTCCTGAGGAATGTGAGCGCCTACAGTGGAAAACCTGCAAAATGAAAGAAAGAAGGATTAGTAATTTCCATTTACGACTAGTATTCGAGTATTAGTACAAGACGCTGAAGAAGTCTGCACATTGTAGACAAAAGACGCGTATCTGCCAATGCAAGCAAAAATGGTAGTGCAATTAAATAAAAATTACTAATCCTTCTCTCTTTCTTTATCTTAAGTTGATGTCTTCAATCTTTTTTATTTTTCTAAAATATCCCTGAAAGTATCTAAGGATTCCTCCTGAGTTCTTTTAAAAATAGCTTAGTCTTAATTTTGGGATTCTTTCTGAAATAACTTCAAAATTGTCTCCACAACATTTTTGAATTTCTCTGCTCTTTAAAAATTGTAGCAAGTATTGCTAAAATATAATTTTATTGCACTCATTTTCTTCTTAAAGTATTCAACCCAAATTTCTTCTGAATTCCCTTAGACATTGTATTCAAATACATTCGCAAATATTGTTTGAATGTCATCCTAGAACTTCCCCAGAAATCGTTTCAAAGGTGTTTTCTCAGGAGTATAATTGAATTTTTCTCCACAACTTTTTAGCATTTCTTTATACAACACGAAAAAAAATTAAACTCTATACAATTCTTTTTGGAATTTGTAATTAAAATTTTAGTTTTAATTCTTGAGAAATATTTCAAAGATTTTATTAATATTAGCCTTAGAAACTGTTTAGTGACGTCTGCGGGTATGTTGAATTGCACGCCTTCTACAACCCTTCCGAATTTTTACCATCAAAATCAAAAAAATTAATCGCTCATTTCTCTTTATAACAAACCGCACACTCAACTTAGTCACCTCCTTGAAATCAATTGATATTTAAACTTTGTTGATTGACAAAAAATATAAATCATTCAATAAGATTATCCCATTGTAGATTGCATTTGTTATTTGATAATTAGTTTAAAAAATATTTGTTTGATAAGTAGTTTAAAAAAATTTCTTTGAACAAATTGAAGCACCTCTCATCACGTTAATAGGGTCGAAAAAATTAAACATTTCACGAAAGTTTCCAAAACGAACATAACTTCAGTCCCTCACGAAGCAGGGGCTGCAACACAGATAAACCTCAATCCTATAGATGAAAATCCCAAGCTGGCAAATCAATCTACGAAAATTCATCTTCTCGTAGGACATCTTCATAAATCTTCTTTCTATCTATTCAGCGTGTGCGTGTTGTGCTGAGCTACAACAAAGTGAAATCGTTGCCACATCTAAGATAGAGTTACCTCCCTTGGCATGATGCACATCCAAAATTTTGATATCTCGATTTCCTAACCATATTTTATTGTTTTTGACTTATAAACCGTGTTCAAATTTTTCATTTAATTTGGACAGTTTCCATAAAAAACTGTTTAGTTCATCATCATTTAACGCCATGTCAATAATGATATGAAGAGTTAGTATATTCATCAGAGGCGTCGCGTGCCTCATTTGTTTACCACCACATGTTAGTTTTTTTTTTTTTTTTTTTTCAATGCTCCATGAATTCGAGGGACATATTCTCAATTACTATATTAATCACTACCTAACGTAGTATTTGAAGGGCCAATCATCTTGTGTAAAAAAAACTTGTATGGTCCTTTTCGCGCTAACTAAAGTAGAAGGAATTGCAAAACTTAACTAATTCTCGTTTTTATCACAAAGCTAACTCTTTCGACTGAAGTGTAAAAAAGAATATCCGTCAAACACTTCCGAAAACAATTGTTGATACAAAACAGTGTCAAAATCTAGAGAAAATTCATGAAGTTCCCTGGATAGAAAACTTGAATAAATCAGCTCTTTATTCATCAGAACAACACTATCAGAATGAACCAGGGAAGCTCATAAGTTTTGACAGGTGCACTGGCGCAACCGTCGGTAATTGAGAGATTTATAACTAACAAGAGAGTGAGAGCGAGCTTTTGGGCTCTCTTTCTCCATTACTCTCTTTGCCTGCAATCAGATATTCCGATATCCAAGTGCACAGCGGGAAATGCACGCTTTAGGCACCCATACATAACAAATGTTCTTCTAATTTAAACTCACACATTCATACCGGTCTGCAAATATGATACACGTCCAAAGCGTACCAAACTGCTGTTTTCGTGTTGCTCCCATTT